TAGGAGTCTCTTGGCGGAGTCTTTGGGATTTTCTAGATACAAGATCATATCATCAGTGAAAAGCAATAGTTTGATCTCCTCTTTCCTGATTTGGATACCCTTATTTCTTTCTCTTGTCTGACTGCTCTGGCTAGAACTTCCAGTACTACGTTGAATAGAAGTGGTGATAGTGGGCAATCGTGTCTTGTTCCAATTCTTAGGGGAAATGTTGTCAACTCTTCCTCATTCAGTAGGATGTTGGCTGTGGGTTTGTCATATACGGCTTTTATAATGTTGAGGTATATTCCTTCTAGGCCTAATTTGCTGAGGGTTTTTATCATGAAAGGGTGCTGGATTTTGTCAAATGCTTTTTCCACATCTATTGAGATGATCATATGGTCTATGTTATTGCTTCTGTTTATGTAGTGAATCACATTTATTGATTTACATACACGTTGAATCATCCTTGCATCCCTGGGATGAAGCCCCATTTGGTCATGGTGAATTATTTTTTTGATGTGCTACTGATGTTGGTTTGATAGTATTTTATTGAGGATTTGTACATCTATATTCATAAGGGATATTGGTATGTAGTTTTCTTTTTTTGTTGTATCCTTTGCTGGCTTTAGTATCAAGGTGATAGATAGTGGCTTCATAGAATAAGGCGGAGAGGATTCCCTCCTTCTCAATGTTATAGAATAATTTCTCAAGTATGGATACAACGTATTCTTTGTAGGTCTGGTAGAAATTTGCTGTGAATCAATCTGGTCCAGAGCTTTTGTTGTTGTTGGGAGATATTTTTTTATTACTGCTTCAGTCTAGTTGCTCATTATTGGTCTGTTCAGAAGTTCTGTTTCTTCCCGATTAGGTCTTGGGAGGTTGTGTGTTTCCAGGAATTTGTCCATTTCCTCTATGTTTTCTAGTTTATATGCACAGAGATTTTCATAATATTCATGATGTTTTGTATTTCTGTGTTAGCAGTCGTAATATCTCCTTTTTTATTTCTGATTGAGCTTATTCGGGTCCTTTCTCTTCTATTCCTGGTTAATCTAGCAAGAGGTCTATCAATTTTGTTTATCTTTTCTAAGAGCCAACTTTTTGTTTCATTGATCCTTGTTTTCCATTTTGTTTAGTTCTGCTCTGATCTTTGTTATTTCTTCTGCCTTTGGTTTGCTCTTCCTTTTCTAGTTCCTTGAGATGTGTCATTAGATTGTTAATTTGTGACCTTTCTGTCTTTTTGGTGTAGGCATTTAAGGCTATGAATTTTCCTTTAGGACTGCTTTTCTGAATCTCATAGATTTTGATAGCTTGTGTCCCCTTTGTCATTTAGTTCAAGGAATCTTTTGATTTCCATCTTAATTCCATTATTGAGCCAGTAATTGTTCAGCAGCATGTTGTTTAATTTCCATGACTTTGTGTGGATTTGAGAGTTTCTGTTGGAATTGATTTCTAGTTTTATTCCGTTGTGGTCTGAGAAGATAATACATGGTATGATTTCTATTTTTATGAACTTATTGAGACATATTTTGTGGCCTAAGATATGATCAACTTAGAAAATGTCCCATGTGCTGATGAAATGAATGTATATTCCATAGTTTGGGGATAGAATGTTCTGTAAATGTCCGTTAGGTCCAAGTCCAGTGTTTATTTTCTGCTTCGGTAATCTATCCAACAATGTCAGTGGAGTGTGAAGTCCCTGGAAATTATGATGCTACCATTTAACTCTGCTTAGATTTAGTAGAATTTGCTTTATGAATCTGGGAGCTCTGGTGTTATGTGCATGTATAGTTAGATTGTTATGTCTTCTTATTGAATTGTTCCCTTCACCATCATATAATGACCATCTTTTTCTTTATCATTGTTGATTTAAAGTCAATTTTATCTGCTATGAGAATGGCTACACCTGCTCTGTTTTGGTTTCCATTTGTGTGCAATATTTTTTTCCATCCCTTCGCCTTCAGTCTGTATGAGTCCTTGTGGGATGGATGTGTTTACTGGAGACAGAATATATTTGAGTTGTGTTTTCTCTCTCGTGCTATTTTATATGAGCTGTGTGCTTTAGCTTTTGGGTGATTTTACACTGGTGGGTATCTATTAGGCTGATCCATGTATAATGCAGTTCTGAGTATTTCCTGAAGGGCAGGTCTGGTCATGACAAATTCCCTCAGTGATTGCTTGTCTGGAAAAGTCTTTATTTCTCCTTCATATATGAAACTTAGTCTTGCAGGATACAAAATTCTAGGCTGGCAGATCTGTTTAAGAAGACTGAAGATGGGATCCCAGTCCCTCTTGGCTAATAAGGTCTCTACTGATAAGTCTGCAGTTTGCCTGGGGTTTTCCTTTGTAAGTTATTTGATGTTTTCACCTCACAGCTCATAAAAGTGCCCCCTTTGTGTTGACTTTGGCCACTCTGATGACTATATGACTTGGTGATTGCCTCTTTGCAATGAATCTCCCAGGTGTTCACCTAGCTTCTTGTATCTGCATGTCTAAATCTCTAGCACAACCAGGGAAGTTTTCATCAATTATTCCCTCAAATAGGTTTTCCAGACCTTGTGCTTTTTCTTCTTCACCCTGAAGGATGCCTATGATTCTTATATTTATCCATTTTACAAAATCCCACATTTCTCATGGACTTTGTTCATTCCTCCTGATTCTTTGTTTATTTTTGACTGGGTTAATTCAAAAGAATTGTCTTCTAACTCTGAAATTTCTTCCTCTGCTTGGTCTAGTCTATTCTTTAAGCTTTCCACTATGTTTTGTATTTTCTCCACCACAACAGAGGTGGGTAGAGGAGTGAGACTGGGCAGGGCTGGGTCTGGTGAACATACCTTCAAGTTCCACAAAGGCAGGCACAAGATGTCTCAGCAGGGGTCAAGAGTCAGCTCCCAGGCCACCAGGGAAAGGCTGAAGTGGTCCCACCAAGCCAGAAAATCTGCTCATGAGGGGGAGGGGTCATCTGGGATTCACAGTCTGGCTATTGGGAGTGGGTTTTGCTTTTCTCCCTCCTCTCCTGCCCCAAGGTCTCCTTCCAGCATCTGGCCACAGGCAGGAGCTCAAACTAGCTGAGCTGAGCTCACCAGCCAGTGGCATTGTGGGCTGGGAGCTTCCCTGTCCAGGATTCCTCCCTGGACCTTAAGCAGAGCTTTCCTGCTGGGGAAGGGGTGCTCTCCAAGTGCACTGTGGCTCAGACCGACAGTACACTCTCAGTTCTGACCATCTAGGCTCCCTTGCCTCCCAAGATTAGGTCACAAAGCTCCCCTCTGTGCCCTTAAGTGATCAAGTCCTGGGGGTAGGGAATATAGCCTGCAGGCCTATCCCCTGGTCCCTCAATTTCAATCCCTGGCCATGCCAAGAAGCATATAATGCTCAGGTAGGTTTGATGTCCCTCTGCTTCAGGGTGTGCCCTGCTCTGCTGGAATAGCCAGGCAGGACCAGGGAGGGGTGGTGGGCAGGTAGCTCACAGTCCAAGCGCCCCTTGGTCTGTTGCAGGTCTTTAAGAGGAAAGTTGTAAACCCTACTTTCTGTGGGAGCCTCAATGTAGACATGCCAACAAAGGGGAAGCAACTGCTCCTGAGAATCTCAGCTCAATTGGCCCTTGGGGCTCCCTTGCTACTCAGCAGCAGTGGGTTGGGGAGGGGAAGGAAAAGAGTCTAAATAGAGGAAACCTGGCACTCTGGTCCTTTTTCTCCCTCTCCCCAGAAGGCAACCTGCCTGGAATGTCTAAGCTCTGGGATCACACAAATCCCCCAGGACCCACCGGTCCCTGTGGCCACTGCAATCTGGGCTGGAGCTGGAAAATGTGTGGGAACAAGTGGGACAAAACTGAAGAGCTAAAGCTCCCTGGCGAGGACAAAGGCATACAATGGGTCGAGAAACACCATGGCACCCACCATCTTGGCTTGGGTCTGTGATGCAAGGGGGCTCGCAGCCTGGTGATTTGTTTTCAGGAAACTCCCTGAAGTTCACTGGCAACAGCAGCTTTTGGGCTCATGAGAGCAGAAACGCTTTCCCTCAGCTTGGGAGCCTGCTGACTTCCAGAGGTGTGAGGAAAGGAGAAACAAAACCCCCACCTACCCTTTCCACGGTCCTCCAAGTTTCTTGGGAGTTGATCTCTGCCGATTATCTTTCTCCTCCTTGTTCTGCTGTGTAGCTTCTTCCTGTGGAATCTCTGGTAGGTTCTGGCACTTTTCCCTTGGAATTACACCTTATCTATATTTTTTTTTCCATCTAAAACTTTTCCTTCTTTCTGAGATGATCCAGCAACCAGTGTCTTTACCTACCCATCTTTCTCTTTTTAAACACTATTTTGAAATAACTTTAGACTCACAAGACATTGCAAAATTAGTGCATCATTCCCATATACCCTTCACCCTGCTTACCCAAATGATAACATCCTACATAGCCATAGTATTTTATCATTTCAGTATTTTATCATTTCATTCCATGAAATGTTACAAAATATATGTATATGGGGTAAAATTTCATAGAACCTTCATCTTTTCATCTGACACCAACCTCTTCCCTCAAAATAATTTAGGCTGGCATTTCTCACGGAATTCCTCAGAATTTTTATTAAGTTCTACTAGGGCTTGGGGAGGAAGAAGAAGATATTCCAAGGCCAGTTAGATTGAGGAAATGTTGGGTGAAACCAGCTTCTTTCTTGCAGAACTTCTCAGAATCTCTATGATGCTAATGTGTTGTGAAACTCCAAGAGGAAAATATATGCAGCGTTTTCCAAGTTCACTTGTCTATTACCCCTATTTGTGGCTAGGGGGACAGAATGGTATTGTGATACCATTTTTAGAAACACTGTAAACTCTTTCTATAGGCATGATAAAGTACACAAAGGGCAAAAATTCAGCAAGTCACACTGCTGTTAACAGTCTTGCCAACTTAAACTGTAGCTTTAGCTAAAAGATTCAGCAACAGTTCTAAGATGTGTCATTATCAACTATGCAGACATATATACACATCCTGGTAACGAGGGAAACCGTTACGATGCTTTTTTTTTTAAACAGCATTTGCCATCTATCAGTCACTGCCTTATTTTGAATCATTTGGCACTTACTCCACCAAGCTGCCCTTTGATGTATCCATCTATTTCCCATACGTGCTGAAAATATATCTCATGATGCTCTTTATAGGTAAGTGGCTTTTTAGTTTTTGCATTTTTTCCTATGCTTTTTGTTTGGTTTGTGCTGCCATCTACCTTAATAGTTAGGTTGGTAAACATGGGAGAGACCAAAGAGGAAGCCTGATGTGATGAACTAGATCTTGTTAGTAAAGCACCTGGAAGTTACAATGCTTTTGTGCAGGGCATGATGAGATCAAATATATCACAGTTTTACTAGCTGAAAATATAACTGCATTATGTATGGAATAAAGAAAGATTGCCTATTTCTGATTTTTCCATTTATATCTATTTTGTTTCCTATTTGTTTGGCCTTATATGGTAGCACTTCCTAGCAGGCAAATGGGGATAGGTATTAAAGAATCAAGAAAAGTTTGTAGAACAAAAACTTATAGGTGAAAAAATTTGGTCAATTGTTTTCTAGGAAATTGGAGAAAAAAAAATTCCATTATTAAATTTTAGTTTCTGCAGCTCTAACCTTCACAAATCGCCAAGATAATTATTATCTCTAGAAGGTAACAGGTATCAGATATAAGAACACAGAGAAAAGACAAACTTAAGAAAGTGAAACTTTAAAGGCTGTAGAGAGAGCTATCCTAAAGGAAGAAAGTTCCTTACATTAAAAAAATAGTAGGATAGAGGAGTTTGATTTACTTTCCTTTCTACATAAAATCTGGAGACTTCTTTAAGTGTTTCTTCTTTGAGTCTCTTTTGCAAGTGTCTTGTCCCTAAAACCCAGGCAGCACTCTGACTGTATTTTAAAATCATGGTTCTAGAGAAATGGTTAACCAACCTTACTTACTTTTGCCACTTCCTTCTCCACGTTAGGTATGTATTTTACCTATAGTCACCTTTACTCAGAAAGAAGAGACGTCCTCGGAATCTTTCCCATGAAAAAGAAGAAAATGTGAAGTCCAGCATTCCAATATAACATGAGAAAAGACAGGCTTGTGGACTGAGCTGCAGTAAATACAGCACAAGTATTCTGGTGGAAAAATACCTAGTATGTGACAAAAATCCACACATGAAATAATTGCACACAACCCCAGAACTCTAGGCTGTTTTCCACACATTATATTTTTAAGACATATACTCTTCATACCCTTTTTGCTTCACCAAAGCTGTGGATTTTACACAAGTTGCACTTACATTGTAGGAAGTCTGATTATTTTCCTGTAAGGTTAATGAGAAATTGGAGATTAACTGGAATAGCTTCAGTTAAATTGAGAAAACTAAATTTGGCAACCTAAATTACATGTAGCCAAATAGTAGCAGATATGTAGGAGGGGAGTGATGTAAAAGATGTTCTGAAGTTGTCTAGAACAATAACATTTTATAGACATATGTCATTGTCCCTAGAGCTAACAATTTAATGCCTACCCTAAACATGAAGACACATTGAGAAAATTAAACATTTTCCCAAGCCCTATGTCTTAGCTAAGGCTGCTATAACAAAACACCATAAAAGGATGGTTTGAACAATAGAAACTGATTTCTTACAGTTCCAGAAGCTGGGAAATCCAAGGTCAGGCTGCCACCTGATGCAGTTCCTGGTGAGGGCCGTTTTCCTGGTTTGCAGATAGGATATAGCAAGAAGGCATCTCACATGAGAGGGCAATTCTCTGTCTCTTCTTATAATGGCACCAATTCCATTAAAGAGGCTTCTACCCTCATGACCTAATCACCTCCCAAAGGCTCCACCTCCAAATACCGTAACATTGAGGGTTAGGGCTTAGCACATGAATTTGGGGGACACACAAAGATTCAATCCATAACATTCTACATGTGGCCTCAAAAAATTCATGTCCTTTTCACATGAAAAATATATCCATTCCATCTCAACAGCCCCAGTGGTTTTAACTTATTCCCATATCAATTCTAAAGTCCAAAGTCTTATTTAAATATCTAAATCACATGTGGTACGATTCATCCTGAATCAAAATTCCTTTCCAGCTGTGAACCTGTGAAACAAACAAGTTTATGTGCTTCCAGCATACACTGTTGGGGCAAGAATAGGATAAACATTTCCATTTCCAAAAGGGAGAAACAGGAGAGAAGGAAGGGGTGATGGGTCTCCAAGAAGTCTACAACCTAGCAAGGCAAATTCTATGAGATCTTAAGGTTGATGTTCTGCCTTCAGGACCCACTGAGGCAGAGGCGGCCGCCATGGTTCCAGGCAGAAGCCAGCTGGCCCTTTGAAACTGAGTGATAGCCCTGATGATCTCTGAATCCCCTTCAGGGTCATTCTTTCCTTGTCTTGAAGAACAGCATTCATTCGCAGCTGAAGAGCTCTGTGATGCTGTCCTGTAAAATCCAAGAAGTCCAACAGCTGCCTTCAGCCTGTCCCATCTCCACCCCTTCAGTTTAAACTAGCAGTGTTCCTGCTAGGGTGGCAGATTAGGTCTGTGATTCACTCCCAAACTAATCTCCTTATTAAATGATTTGTCCACCATACCCTTAGTGTTCTCTTCCAAACATGTTTTCTCATTTTTTGTAATGTGAACAGGCTGAGAATTTTCCAAACCTTTAAGTTCTGGTTCCTTTTTGGTTAACAGTTCTGTCTTCAATTAATTTCTTTCTACTCATGTTTTATTTTAAGCAGTCAAGAGGAACCAAGCCATTCCTTCAACACTTTGCTTAAAGATCTCTTTAAATATTGAATTTCATGGCTCACAAGTTTTACCTTCCCCCAAACACTAGAACATGAACATAATTCAGCCAAGTTCTTTGGCACATTATAACAAAGCTCACCTTTCCTATAGTTTCCCATAACATGTTCCTCATTTCCATCTAAGACCTCATCAGAATGGCCTTTATTGCCCATATGTCTACCAATATGCTGTTCATGATTATTTATGTATTCTCTAAGCAGATGGAGGCTTTCTCTCCACCACCTCTCTGTTTGAGCCCTCACGAAAATCACCTTTATCAATTCCTTCATGGCAATAATGGCTTTTTCTAGCATGCACCTCACCACTCTTCCAGCCTCTACCCATTACCTAATTTCAAAGCTGCTGCCACATTTTTATGTATTGGTTATAGCAGCACCTCACTTCTTAGTACCAATTACTGTCTTAGTAGCTTGGGCTGTTATAACAAAATACCCAAAACTGGGTGGCTTAGACAACAGAAATGTTAACATATTTCTCACAGTTCTGGAGCGTGGGAAGTCCAAGATCAAGGTGCCAGCCAGTTTAGTTCCTGGTGAGGTTCCAAGGTGCTCACTGATTCTTCCTGTTTACAGATGGATGCCTTCTTGCTGTATCTTCACATGGCAGAGAGAGAAATCATCTCTCCTGTGTTTCTTCTTGTGAGGGCACTGATCCCATTCATGAGGGATTATCCCAAAGGCCCCACCTCCAAATGCCATCACACTGGGGATTAGATCTTCAACATATGAATTTGGGGAAGACACATTTAGTCCATGCCACTCTAATGGTACTCATTAATATCACAAGTTATTTGGGCTTTGATGCCGAAAGAGGACCCTAATTAGAATAGATCTTTGGTAAATATACAAGTAATGCCTCATTCTTCACTATTTTTCTCTTTAAAATCAGGACACATACATACCTTACAGGGAGATAAAAGGTATAAAAATATAGAAAATACTTAAAAAAAAAAAAACCTAAACTAGTGGTATTTTATTTAGTAAAGGATTATTAATTACTATAATGTAAGTCATATAAGTCATCACTTTGTTTTGAAAAATGTTCCTTTCTTTGAAGATGTAAAATGTGAATTCACTAAGAATCATTGCTGTACCATTCAGGTATCACTCAATTATTAAGAATTAGAGATCTCATTATCCAGTAACTACATATAAAGGGCATTAAATGTATCATGACATACATAACGGGGTAATAAAAAAGTACTGTTAAAAAATGCGTAACCCCATTTCCACTAAATAAAACAGTTGAAAGAAACTGAGTATTGATAAAGATACTTGAAATCTTTATAAAGTAACATACTAAGATTTTAAAATAAGAAAATGATTAAAATTATCCTTTTAAAAACATTTTATTTTGCTTCTAAAGTTGCCTGTCTTCTAAATTTAAGAAAAAATTACTAAAAGCTTTAGTGTGTGAAGAGTAGACTCTCTTCACAAATTTTAGGTGACTTAGTCTAAATTGCTCCCAATAAAGATGGCTACTTACACTACTGAAGTATACATTTAGTTACTGCAATGAAGAGAAAGAATTAGAGAAACTACACTTTACTGGGTCATTGTAAGAAATTAAAATTTCATTATTAAATATTTTAATTTTTTAAATCAGATACTTGAAGAACCTTGCTGCTACTTTCAAACTGAAGTCCAAACGAAACACATAAATTCGTAATTATTGTAAATTTGAAGTAGAAATGAGGATTGACAATGGTTTGAGATCTGCAAAAGTTGTAACATAAAAATATCTAATGTCCTTTGGTGACAGAGTCACAATTGTTAATACCACTGTAGTTGATTGCCTATATTCATAACTGAAAGAAATAACTAAATTTCATTAGAGGTTAGTGGAAATAAAGATGTAATTTCTTTTCCCACTCAAGTTCATACTCCCTAGGTTAAGAAACCCAGACATCGTGAAGTCAAGACAGTAAATATCTAGTTATCAGATGTTACCCAGATTGCAAAGTTGACTTCTTGGGCTATCTGTTTTAACTGTATGCTCATCAAATGTCTATTTTGGACAGTGTAGAAAAAGGCTTAGTTTCTCAAGCCTAAGTAATGTAGATGAAATAGGAACTACTAAGTATTTTGAAAGCATATGTAAGACAACTTTGTTCCTCAAATTTTTTATTGTGGTAAAAAACGTAACAAAATTTACCATCTTAGCTATTTTTAAGTGTGCAGTTCAGTGGTATTAAGGAACATACCTATTATTACTACTATGTAACCATCACCATTCATCCATATTCACAACTCTCTTCATCTTGCAAAACTTAAATTCTATACCCATGAAACAATAACTCCCCATTCTCTTCTGTCCCCAGGCGCCAGCAACCGTTAATCTACTTTGTCTCTGTGACTTTGATTACTCCAAGTACCTTATATAAATAGAATCATGCAGTATTTGTCTTTTGTAACTGGCTTATTTCACTTAGCATAATGTCTTTAGGTTTCATACATGTTGTAGCATTTTTCATATGTTTCTTGGCTGTTTATCTTCTTTTGAAAAACTTCTGTTTATGCCTTTTTACCCACTTTTTAATGGGGTGGTTCGTTCTTGCTGAGTTCTTCGTAGATTCTGGATATTAGCCCTTTATTTCATATATAGTTTGTGGATATTTTCTCCCATTCTGTAGATTGTCTATTAACTCTATTGACTATTTCCTTTGTTGTGCAGAAACTTTTTAAGTCCCACTTATTTTTGTTGTTGCTGTACTTGCCTTTGGGGTCTTAGTCATAAATTCTTTGCCTAGGCTGATGTCTAAAAGTTTTTCTTATGTTCTAGAATTTTTATGGTTTCATGCCTTACATTTAAGTCTTTTATCCATCTTGAATTTTTGTATATGGCAAGAGATAGGGGTCCTGTTTCATTCTTTTGCATGTGGCTATCCGGTTTTCCCAGAACCATTTATTGAATAGGCTTCCTTTCCCCAGTGTACGTTGTCTGCTTTGTCGAAGATCAGGTGGTTGTAGGTAGATTGTTTTATATCTGGGTTCTCTACTCTAGTCCACTGGTCCATGTCTCTACATTTATACCAGTATCATGCTGTTTTAGTTACTATAGCCTTATAATTTGAAGTCAGGTAATGTGATGCCTCCAGATTCGTTCTTTTTGGTTAAGATTGCTTTGGTTATTTGGGCTCTTTTTTGGTTCCAAATGAAGCATAGAATTATCTTTTCTAGATCTGTGAAATATGATGCTGGTATTTTGCTGGGGATTGCGTTGACTCTGTAAATCACTTT